TCCTTCCTTCTTTCCAATTTGATGCCTTTTATTTCCTTTTCTTGTCTGATTGCTGTGGCTAAAACTTCCAGTACTGTGTTGAATCAAAGAGGTGAAAGTGGACAACCTTGTCTTGTTCCCGATCTTAGTGAGAAAGATTTTAGTTTTTGCCCATTGAGTATGATGTTGACTGTAGGTTTCCCATATATGGCCTTTATTATGTTGAGGAATGCTCTTTCTATTCCCACTTTGCTGAGTGTTTTTATCATAAATGGGTGTTTTGTCTTATCAAATGCTTTTTCCACATCTATTGATATGATCATATGATTTTTGTCTTTGCTTTTGTTTATGTGATGTATTACATTTATTGATTTGCAAATATTGTACCATTCTTGCATCCTTAGGATGATTCCCACTTGACCATGGTGTATGATCTTTTTACTATAATGCTGTATGAAGTTTGCCAATATTTTGTTGAGGATATTAGCATCTATATTTGTTAGTTATATTGACCTGAAGTTTTCTTTCTTTCTTCTCTATTTATCTGAATTTAGGATTAGGATGATGCTGGCTTTATAAAAAAAAATTTTGGGAGTATTCCATCATTTTGGATTTTGGGGAATAGTCTGTGAAGGATAGGGGTTAGCTCTTCCTTAAATGCTTTGTAGAATTCTACTGTGAAACTGTCTGGTCCACGGCTTTAGTGTGTCAGGAGTTTTTTATTACTGCTTAAATTTCATCTGCTGTTATTGGTCTCTTCAGGCTTTCTGCTTCTTTTTTTGTTTGTTTTAAGTATAAATTGCTTTCTTTTTTAAAGATTTTATTTATTTATTTTTAGAGAGGGAAGGGAGAGAGATAGAGAGAGAGAGAGAAACATCAATGTGTGGTTGCTGAGGGTTATGGCCTGCAACCCAGGCATGTACCCTGGCTGGGAATCGAACCTGTGACACTTTGGTTCACAGCCCACACTCAATCCACTGAGCTACGCCAGCCAGGGCTGGCTTTCTGCTTCTTCATTGAGTTTTGAAAGATTACATTTTTCTAGAAATTTGTCCATTTCACCTAGGTTTTCAAATTTCTTGGCATATGGTTCTTCATAGTAATTTCTTACAATCCTTTGTATTTCTGTGATGTCAGTTGTAATCTCTCCTCTTTCATTTCTAATTGTGTTTATTTGGGTCTTCTCTCTTTTTTTCTTGATGAGCCTGCTTAGAAGCTTGTCAATTTTGTTTATCTTTTTAAAGAACCTGCTCTTGTATTCATTGTTCCCTAGAATTGTGCTTTTAGTCTCTATGTGATTTTTTCTGCTCTGATCTTGGTTATTTCCTTCCTTCTACTTGCTCTGGGCTGTCTTTGTTGTTCCTCGCATTCTTGTAGACTTAGGGTTAGGTTGTTTGTTTTAAATATTTCTATCTTTTTTAGGTAGGCCTGTATCACTATGAACTTCTCTCTCAGGACTGCCTTCACTGTGTCCCATAAGTTTTGAGCTGTTATGAGTTCATTTTTAGTTTTTCCCAGAAACGTTTTGATTTTTTTCTCGAATCTAATTCTTGACCCATTTATTGTTTAATAGCATGCTATTCAATCTCCATGAGTTTGAGTCTTTTCAGGTTTTTCCCTTGAGGTTGGTTTCTATTTTCAGTCCCTTGTGGTCAGAGAAAATTCTTGACATGATTTCAAATTTCTTGAATTTTTTGAGTCTTGCTTTGTGCCCTATCATGTGGTCTGTCTTTTAAATTGTTCCATGTACATTTGAAAAGAACGTGTATTTAGCTTCTTTGGAAAGAAAGTCTCTCTATATATATCAGTTAAGTCCATTTTATCTAGGGCATTGTTCAATGCCACAATATCTTTGTTGATATTTTGTTTAAAATATCTGTCCATTTTTGACAGTGGGGTGTTAAAATCCTTTAGTATAATTCTGTTCCTGTCAATATTTTTCTTGAAGTCCTCCAAGATTTTCTTTATGTATTTGGGAGCTCCTATGTTGGTTGCATGTATATTTACAATGTTTATGTGTTCTTGATGAATTCTTCCCTTGAGTCTTATGAAGTGACCTTCTGGATCTCTCTTGATAGTCCTTTTTTTGAAGTCTATTTTGTCTGGTATGAGTATTGCTATCCTGGCTTTTTTTTCCCTGTCCATTTGTCTGGAATATTTGTTTCCAACCCTTAACTTTCAGTCTGTGTAGGTCTTTTGTCCTGTTGTGGGTCTCTTATTGGCAGCATATGTGTGGGTCATGCTTTCTTATCCATTCAGCTATTCTATGTCTTTTGATTGGAGCATGTAATCCATTTACATTTAAGGTCATTATTGATAGGTACTTATTCTTCATTGCCACTTTTTTGTACCTGTGTTCCTCTCTCTCTTTTCCTTCCTTTTCTTTATTTTATTTTGTGTTACTTTTTAAAATTTTAATTGTTGTTCAAGTACAGTTTTCTGCCTTCCTTTTCTTAAAGCAGTCCCTTTAGCATCTCTTGCATAGCTGGTTTGTTGGAGATGTATTCTTTAAACTTCTTTTGTCTGGAAGTTCCTTATTTGGCCCTCTATGTTGACTGAGAGCCTTGCTAGGTAAAGTAGCCTTGGTTGCAGGCCTCTCATTGTCATTACTTGGAAAATTTTCTCACCATTCTCTTCTGGCTTGGAGCATTTCCACTGAGAAGTCAGCTGCTAGCTTTATTGACACTCTCTCATATGTTACTTCCTATTTCTCCCTTGCTGCCTTAAGATTTTCTCTTTGTCTTGGAATTTTCACATTTTAATTATGATGTGTCTTGAAGTGAGTCTCTTTGGATTCCTATTGATTGGCACTCTGTGCTCCTGGATTTGTGTGACTTTTTCTCTCATCAAATTTGGGAATTTTTCCATCATTACTTGTTCAAAAAGATTTTCCATCCCTTGCTCTTCTTCTCCTTCTGGTTTCCCTATCATGCAGATATTATCATTTTTCATGGTGTTCTGCCTTTCCCTAAATCCCTCTTCATTCTTTTGGAGCCTCTTTTTCTTTTCTTGCTTTTTCCATGTGTTTTTTTCTACTTTGTCCTCCAGCTCACTGGTGCAATCCTCTGCTTCATTGAGACTGCTTTGTTTCCTTCTACCATGTTCTCCTGTTCAGAAATTGTATTCTTCATTTCCTCTTAGCCCTTGTTAATAGTTTCTATTTCCTGTTTCATGTTAATATAGATGCAGTAAATTCACTGTAGTTTCCCTGTAGTTTTTGGTAATTCTCTGTGAACTCATTGAGCTTCCTTATAACCACAGCTTTGAACTCCATACTCATAATTGACTTTCCTCTGTTTCATTTAGCATTCTTTCTGAGGCTTCCTCCTTTCTTTTAACTTGAGGATTATTTCTTTGCCTTCCCATTGTTTGTGAGACTCTTCTTGTTAGCCTCTACTTCTTAAATTGATCTGTTCTGACTCCCTGGCTTTATGGCATGAACCTCTATGATAGAAGACTTGTGAGATTTAGTGGTGCAGTCTCCTTCATCTCTTGAGCTCACTGGTCTTGGGCTGTCATTTATATTGGCTCTCTCAATGTCTTTTGGTTTTGATTGTTGCTGGGTCTTTCCTTGGTGGTTTTTTTTCTCCATTGGTTAGCTGAGGGTTACTCCACACACCATGTCTTGTATGCTTTTGTGCAGGTGTGGACAGTTTGTATTGAAGCTGTTTCTTCTGTCTGTCTTTAGTTCTCTCTTGCTTTAATTCAGGTGTTTGTTTTGGATAATGTCTCTACCACTTAATTTTAATTCCAGATTGGTCCTGGGTAGAAGTTAGTGTGACTTCCATTCACTCCTCTGCCATCTTTCTTTACTATCTGATGGGGGTTCCTTTTTTAGTGGGTTCTCTCTTCCAGCAGGTGTAATGGTGTTCACAGCTCCCACCTACTCTTTTATGTGATTAGTTGGATAGGGAAGGCAAAATGGATTAAGACAACGGGAGTGTATTCTGTGGGATTTAAAGTGCCAACCCATAGAGAAAAGATAGGAGATCCTTTGATAAGTGTAATGTTAACTGTGATATTTCACCCCACTGTCCACTTTTTAGAAAGGGTGGAAAATAAATAAGACTCTTGTCAGAGGGGGAGGGATTCTGAGTTGAATCCAGAAAACAGTGAGTTTATGGGGGGTGAGATTATGAGGGATAGTGAGAGTAAAGGATAGAAAATAGGCATGGTGTATGAGGTAATGGAGTGAATGGAGTTAACCACAATAATAGTAAGGTTCCAAAAAATAGTGAAGTGGGGTAAGATCTGGGAGGGGTGCTATGTAGCATTTGCAATTGTATGAAACAACAATTATTTCCAATAATACTATAACATTCATATGACAGAAAATATATGATCTGGGTAAGAAGAATAAGAAGTACATGACCTAGAGTATTGTGCTAGTGGAACAATATGTGGTTGCCTCTTATGTGCCTCCTACTATGTGGGACTTGGCCCACAACCAAAGAATGTGCCCTAACTGGCAATCATACTGGCAACATTTCAGTTCACAAGCCAGCACTCAGTTTACTGAGCCTCACTAGCCAAGGCAAGTTTGCTTTGTTGATTAGGTTCTGCTTATATGTGAGATCATATGGCATTTGTCTGGAATACTATGCAGCAGAAAGAAAGGAGTTTCTACCCTTTTTGACAGCATGGATGTTCTTTGTGTTTTATATGTGGCCAGTCTGGTAACAACCTAGCCATCCCAGGAATAAAAATCAGTATGAATTTTTTTAAAGCAATTAGGCACAAGACAGTGAAGTATGTGAGTTAACTTCTTGTATTAATTTTTTTTACAACAAGAACAAATAGAGGATCAAAAGAACACAGTGTAATTTGGAACTGAAAAGTGACCATTTCTAGAAATGGACAAAATTAACAAGAAGAAGCAGAGCCACCAAAGACAACATAATGTTGCATTAGGGTTGACTCTAGGCAAAATCTGACAAAAGTGAGAAAGGTTATTGGTTAACATATTTGGGAGGCTTCATGCTTGTACTCAATACTTTCTGCCTGCCAAGATCCACTCTCACCTCTCCTCCATCTGCTGTTTGCCTTGGAGGCTGACCTTTTTGGACTGCATCAAGAGTTCTCTGCCCCTCTGCCTCCCACTTGTGTTCAGCCAGTGGTAAGTACCTGCAGGAGATCAAAAGGAGGGAACAAAGTGAAGTCAGGGAATTTTTCCCCCAAGATCTCTTCCTGATAGTTTTTTATGGATTGATTGCATCCTTCCACCAAAAACTCCAGGTCCTGGTAAACATTTCTTCCCTTCACCCCTAAAACAGTGTTGGTAAATGGCTCCCCAGTTAAAGTATTGCAACATGCCTTGTTGCTTTTTCTAAATCCTATACACACCTTCGTAAACAGTCCCCTAATTAAACTCTTCCCAGTATAAGTTGCCACATATGTTTCCTGCTAGGATCCTGACCAATAAAGCACTCCTTGAAAATAACTTTATTAAGTCCTTAGAACCAAAGGATAGCACTGTCAAGCAGTAGAGAACACCTTCAATGCCTCTAAAAGCAAGAACTCATAATTTTTACACACAAACTATCTAATTTAATCCTAATGCTCTAAGCAAGTAGGTATTAATATAATATCCATTAAAGATGAGAAAACTGAGATGATGGCAGAGGGGGATCACTGGAAATTCCCTGACCTTATTAAGCAATGAATCCTATAACCTTCCTACTACACCCTGACCCTTTCCATTCAGACAACACATGCCACAAATGCTGAAATTTAGAGCTCTCCAATTTTGGGGACAGTAAGAACATTTTTTAAGTCCTAGAAGAACATTTTGGGGGACAGTAAGAACAATTTTAAAGTCCTAGGGCCCAAGGAAAGGAGTGGTCATTCAAGATTTACTCTTTTAAAACAAATGCTGAAGAAAAAAGACATGCAAATCCAGCCAGTTTGGACACCTGAGTTTATTGGTCGAAACCCCTCTTGTAATTATTTCAAAATACTTTATTTAAAAAGAAACTACAATATTGTAAGGGATTTCTAGTGAATCTAACTCCCTTAAATGTTCCTTAGACATCACCCCATGGCTTCCCGAGAGTTTCCAAGCTTCAAAATGTGAAACTCATGATGTAGAATAAAAGGCAACAGAATAGATTAATACCTCAAGTTCTAGAGGCAGGCAGATCTGCGTTCTTGATAGAAAAACAAAAGCAGCTAGTAGTTACATCTCAGGCAAGCTAAAAAAATTTTTGATCCTTAGTTTCTTCATCTGGGGAAAATAATGTTAAATAAGTTAAAGAAGCTAATGCATTTTAAAAATTTTTTGTATACCAATATACAATATTATTTTTAATGTTGTTCAAGTAGTTTTCCCAGTTTTTCTCATTACTCTCCCCAGCCCTGCCCAGCTCCTGCTCCCTCAGTCAGTCACCAACTAGTTGTCCATTACCATGATCCCTTTATATATGTTCGTGGATTAGACCCTTCCTCATCTTTCCCCCCATCTTGCCCTCCCCCTTCCCTTCTGGTCACTTATTTCTATGTTTCTGGTTCTGTTTAGCTCATTTGTTTGTTTTGTTCATTAGATTCCAATAACAAGTTAGATTGTGTGGTATTTGTCTTTTGCCTCCTGGCTTAATTTACTTAGCATAATACTCTCCAGTTCCAACCATGCTATCATAAAAGGTAGGAGTTCCTTCTTACTTTCTGCTGCATAGTATTCCATTGTGTAAATGTACTGCAGTTTTCTTTCTTTTTTATTATTGTTGTGCAATTACAATTATGCCAATTTCCCCTTCACATTACTCTCCCCTGCACTACCCACTCCCACCTCCCACATTCAATCCTACCCTCCCCTGTTGTCTTTGTCCATGGGTCTTTTATACACAGTCCTTGATGACCCTTCCCCTTCTTTGCCTCATTATTCCTCTCCCCTCTCCCCTCTGGTTACTATAAGTTTTTGCCTCATTTCCATGTCTCTATATTTTGGTTATATTTTGCTTGTTTGTTTGTTTTGTTGATTAGGCTGCACTCATACCTGAAATCATATGGTATTTGTTTTTCACTGCCTGGCTTATTTCACTAGCATAATGCTCTCCAGATCCATCCATGCTGTCGCTAAGGGTCAGAACTCCTTTCTTTCTCTGCATAATATCCATTGTGTAAATGTACCATGGTTTTACATCTACTAGTTTACTGATGGAAATGTATGCTTGCTTCCAATATTTGACTATTGTAAATTGTGCTGCTATGAACATTGGGGTGCACAGATTCTTCTGAACTGGTGTTTCAGGATTTTTAGCTTATAGTCTCAGCAGTGGAATTGCTGGGTCGAAAGGCAGTTCCATTTTTAGTTTTCTGATGAAATTCCATACTGTTTTCTGCAGTGCCTGCACCAGTCTGCATTCCTACCAACAGTGTTTTAGTGTCCCCTTTTCTGCACATCCTTCCCAGTACTTTTTGTTTGTTGAGTTGTTAATTGTGGACATTCTGACCTTGATTGGTATGAGGTGGTATTAATTTGCATCTCTCTGATGGCTAATGATGTTAAGCATCCTTTTACATTTCTATGGGGCCTCTTTATGTCCTCCTTGGAGAAATGTCTTTTCAGGTCCTTTGCCCATTTTTAATTGGATTGTTTGTCTTCCTATTATTGAGTTGTGTGAGTTCCTTACACATTTTGGAGATCAAACCCTTATCTGAGGTATCATTGCAAATATGTTTTCCAGTAGAGTTGGTATCCTTTTCATTTTGTTGATGATTTCTTTAACCATGTAGAAGTTTTTAATTTAATGTAGTCCCATTTGTTTATTCTTTCCTTTATATCTCTTGCCCTAAAAGATATATTGGTGAATATTTTCTGCATAGGATATCTGACATTTTACTGCCTATGTTTTCCTCTAGAACTTTTATGGCATCACAACTTAAAATTTAAGTCTTTTATTCATCTTGAGTTTATTTGATGTATGGTCTAAGTTGGTGCTCAAGTTTCCTTTCTTTTTTCCATGTACCTGTCCATATCTCTCAGCACCATTTATTTAAGAGGCTATTTTTACTCCACTTTATGCTACAGTCCTCTTTATTGAATATGAATTGACCATAGAGACATGGGTGTATTTCTGGGCTCTCTATTCTCTTCCATTTATCTATGTGTCTGTTCTTATGTCACTACCAGACTGTTTTGATTATAATGGCTTTGTAATATAATTTAATATCAGGTATTGTGATCCCTCCACTTTGTTCTTCTTAATCAAAATTCCTGAGGCTATTTGGAGTCATTTATGGTCCATGTAAATATTTAACAAATTTGTTCTCTATCTGTGAAATGTGTCATTGGTATTTTGATAGGGTTGGTGTGACTCTGATTGCTTTGGGTAGTATATATATTTTAATGATATTAATTATTCCAGTCCATGAATACAGTACATACTCCATTTATTTTATCTTAGTTTCTTTCTTCAGTGTTCTGTAGTTCTCTGAGTACAGGATTTTACCCTCTTGGTTACATTTATTCCTAAATTCTTTAATTTTCTTCTTGGTATAGTAAATGGGATTTTTTGTTTTGTTGTTTCTGGTATTTTATTGATGTACAAAAATGCCATTGATTTCTGAATATTGAATTTTTATCTCACTTTTTGTCAAATTTATTTATTAGGTGGAGTAGTGTTTTGGTGGGGTCTATGGGGTTTTCTACGCACATTATCATGTCATCTACAATGACAAACTTACTTCTTCCTTTCCAATTTGGATGTCTTTTATTTCTTTTCTTTTTTTTTGTCTGATTGTTATAGCTAGAACTTCCAATACTGTGTTGAACAGAAGTGGTGAAAGCAGACACCCTTCTCTTTTTCTTCATCTTTGGGGTAAAACTTTTTTGTTTTTGCCCTTTGTGTGTAATTTTGGTTGTATCTTTCTCATATATGGCCTTTAGTATGTTGAGGTATGATCCCTCTCTCCCAAAGTGCTGAATTATTTTTTATCATAAGTGGGTATTGTATTATATCAAATATTTTTCACCATCTATTGTTAAGATCATGTATTTTTTCTTTCATTTTGTCTATGTGATGTACTATATTTATTGATTTATGAATATTGTATTATCCTTGCATCCCTCAAATGATCATGGTGTACTATCTTTTTAATGCAGTGCTGGATGCAGTTTGCCAATATTTTGTTGACAATTTTAGTATCTGTGTCATCAGCAATATTGGTCTTAGTGGGGGGGGTTTTGTTTTGTTTTGTTTTTTTGGTTTTTTTGTTTTGTTTTGTTTTGTTTTGTTTTGCTTTGTTGTGTCTTTACCTGGTTGTGGATTTAGAATAATACTGGCCTCATAAAAAGAGTTTGGAACTCTTCTTTTTACTTAAATAAGTTGAAATAGTTTGATCACTATACAAGTGAGATCTTCCCTAAATGGTTGGTAAATTTCATCTGTGAAGCCACCTGGTCCAGGACTTTTGTGTGCCTGGAGTTTTTATTTTTTGTTGCTTCAATTTCAATAGTCATTATTAGTCTATTCAGGCTTTCTGCTCTTTCTGATTCAGTTTTGGAAGATTATACATTTGAAGAAGTTTGTCCATTTCATCCAGGCTGTCAAATTTCTTGGCTTTTAATTGTTCGTATTAGTTGCTGACAATCCTTTGTATTTCTGTGGTATCAGCTGTAATTTCTCCTCTTTTGTTTCTGATTTTAGTTATTTGGGTCTTCTCTTTTTTTCTTGATGAGTCTGGTTTAAGGTTTGTCAATTTTGTTCATTTATTCAAAAAATCAGCTCCTGGATTTGACTCCTAGAATTGTTCTCTTAGTCTCTACATCATTTAATTCTACTCTGATCTTGATTATTTCTTCCCTTCTACTCTCTCTGGGCTTTGTTTGTTGTTGTTCCTCCAGTGCTTGTAGATGTAGGGTTACGTTGTTTATTTGAAATGATTTTCTTTTTTCTAGGTAGGCTTGTATTGCTATGAACTTCCTTCTCAGAACAGCTTTTGCTGTGTCCAATAGGTTTTAGGCTGTTGTGTGTTCATTTTTGTTTGCTTCCAGAAACTTTTAATTTTTTCCTTGATCTCATTTTTGACCTATTCATTGTTTAATAGCATGGTATTCATTCTCCAAGAATTTGAATGTTTTTTAGTTTTTTCCTCGAGGTTTTTTTCTAGTTTCAATATATTGTGAT